TTAATAATTCAGTATATTAACCTTTCCCTGCTCAGATTACTGGGTGATTTCTTTCTCCTGACTGGACCCAGTCAGCTAGACCTGTGTATCCCAAGTCCAGCTGGACCTGTGATTCTGTGGCCTTCAGCAATGAGAATACCATTTCTTGACTCAGAGGGGAAGCTGCATCTCACCCACAGAGTGTGTTGTGGTCCCCCAGCCCAAGAATGGCATCCACAGCAGTTGGGCATTTCTGTTCACACTGGAATAAGATTCTGCCTGCAGACAGCTAAAGCCCAGGTCGGACGGGGGTGAACCAATTCCGAATCCTTTTTTTCACCTTCCTCCTCCCAAGAAAAGTTCAGGGCTAGTTGCGTCTGATGTCCTATGAGCAAGTCCTTAGACCAGGGTTGGCGCACTGTGGCCTGTGGGCTGCTTGTGGCCTGTTTGTGTGTGCTACCCAAGCTGAGAATGGTTTTACATTTTTAAAGATTTGTTAAAAAAAAAAGAAGATGAAACTAAAGATGCAACAGAGATTGTACGTGGCCTCCAAAGCCTAAAACAGTTATGATCTGACCTTTTAGAGAAGAAGTTTGTGGACTCTGTCTTAGACCAAATGACATAGTCCCGCCTCCAGGGCAGATGGTAACTTTCAATTAAAGAGTAGTCTCAAACCAGATGTATGTTTGACCCAATTTACATAAACCAACAGATCATCTGCTTGACATCTCAAGGTAAAGCCTGACCCTGACCAGCTAGGTCACCTCACCAGGGTGAGGAGAGATACTTAACTATTACAGAGAGGTGTCACCACCATCTAGTGTGCAGGCATTATGGCTTCATGGAGGAACTTGGCTCTGAAGCCACCAACAGGTGCCCATGGAAGTTTGCTCTGCCCCTGTCTAACTTCACATGAACGCCACCAACAACTTCCCTCAGGCACCTGTAAACACCAAGCGATGGGCATGAGTGTGCAGTGGGAGTTCTGACCTGGGAAAGCATGAAAGCTAGTGACAGCTCTTGCTTCATGAATCTTCCATCCCTAGTATCTGGACACAGCGTTGCACAGTACAGAGAAGTGGAAGGATGGAACAGAATAGACACTATCAGCCAGAAAAGAGGACAGTGGGAGTTCCTGGTCGATCTCATATAAACCCTTTCCTTTACCCTCCCCACAGTCAGTTTCCTTGAGTGACTGACCCTTGGGGTACCCTCTGCCGCATCCCCTCGGCTCGCCGATAGCTCCAGCATGTCACCAGGACCTCCTTCAGTTCCTGAAGCAGTGTCCTTCTGCTTCTCTGCCTCTGGGCTTTCTTCAAAGCTGCAGAAGTCGATTCAGCTCGTAGACAGGTGTAACCTAGAGGTGTAGGGAGTTGTTGAACCCGAGAGTAACCTGCAGCCAGTGGGAGATGACATTTGGGTGGATAAGTGTCCCAGCCTCGTGTCCTTCAGTGGCACAGTTTGGGGGCACATTCTACACAATTCTTCAGAGGATCCCCAGCAAGAAGGAGCCGCGGTTGCCTGTGATAGTGGTTAGCTCAGAATGTGCCCTTTATTGACTGCTTTGGCTCACTCACCTCAAACCCTCAGTCTTGTCTTGTGGGATCACCTCCCAAATAAATGACCTGCACCCAAGTCCTAACCCTGAGTCACGCTTTTGGGTGAATCTAAACTAAGGTTGGCACACATCCCCCGCAATGGGAGGAACAACCCCAGTCTAACCAGAGTGACGATGACAGAGTGAAGGCTTGGTAGCTTTCTTTTTCCTTCACATTTGTCATCTCTCTGTAATTTCAAAACCATTTCTCATCCACCTCCCCGAAGAGCACTGGAAATGATTCAGAGCTGAGAAGAATTACCTCATTTCTTGATGACAGAACCAAGGCACAAAGAGATCATGACCGGCTGAAGCAAGGAGTCCCCTGTCCATAGGAGGCGACTTAGAGAGGAATGAGTGCTCCATCTCAGGTCAGAAAGACCTCACGTGCCCGTCTACTGAACATGAACTGATGTGAAACAAAATGTGGGGGTTTTCATTGATCATAATCTCCCTATGAATCAAGACTTTTAAAAAAAATAGCCAAACCATATAGACACTGTTGGCAGAAGCATCCAGATCAAGGATCAACAAGACCACACAATCTGGCCCTGGCTCACCACCGCCAAGCCCCAGTCCTGGACTCTCTGCTGATCAGACAGCATGTCAGCCTCCTCTCGGGAGCCACTTGCCCAGCCTCACCTGTCTTAGGTCCTTTGCCTGCTTGTGCCGGTCCAGCCTCGGCAGGGGCAGCTGGCTCTGGGTGGGCTCTGATCATCTTCACAGGGGCACAACCAACAGTGTCTTTGACCTGCTGCTTTTTTCTTGTTGCTATTGAGCCATAAGTTGCTGTGGGACTCCCTGGGCACATACATCGCATGGACGTGTAGGGGAGTTAACACTCAGTGGGGCCAAACTCTCACCAATGGGAGACTGAGGCCAATAGATACTCTTCCTCTGGCAGATCTTCCTGAGTAGTGGTTGGTGTGGCCTCTTGGAAGGTGGAGACCAAGAGACCCAATGCACTTTACATCAGGCCGTCGCCTCTTTGAGAAAGGACCCTCTTGTTGACTCTCCCCTCCTCCATTTCCTGAGTCCTTATTTCTGCTCCCTGGGACCACGCTTCTGAATAAGTCCTTGCACATAAACCTTTGCATCAGGTTCTGTTTCCTGGGGAACCCGGCTAACACGGGTTGTCTGAACCGATCCCAGGGGCCCGGGGAGCATGTGTGCTCATTGGCTAAGGCTTGGAGGGCCTGATGTAATCACTGGGCCAAGGGGGAGGGGCTCTACCGGATGGGGGAGGGGTGGGATGGACACAGGGAAGACCAACCACAAAGTCCGTGAAGCAGATATGTCTCTTGCCCTGGCAGTGTGTGTTCATTTTTCGTCCTTAAACCGTCCCACTTCCAGTTCAGTGGGGTGGTTTCGCCTCACAATTTCTGATACGTAAAAAGTGCCTTTTAAAAGCAGAAGTGATAATACAAGTTGAATTTAACGCCTTTCCGGAGCCGTGGACTGTAATCACAGCCTTAGAGAAGAAGTGTTAGGTAGCTTTTTCTTTAAATGAAATCTGACTGCGGTTCCTCATCCCTCTGGTGGGGGCAGAGTTCTTCCTCCGTGATTATTGGGGCTTCCAGCCCCTGTCCAGGGAAGGCTGGAGAAATCCTGGACAGAGCACAGAGCAAAGCTTTTGGGGAACCTACAGGTCTTTGTTTTTCGCCTTTGCTGTTCCCATGTGTTCAGGCCACCCTGTGTCCCATTTCAGCATGAGCGTCTTCCTGAGCCTGAAGTACCTACTTAGAATCCCCTTCCTGGGTGGAGAGGATGCCGTGTGCCCACTGTCTCTCTGTGGGGAACCTCACTCTACACCCTCCCCTTAGTCCTATGAAAACTACTCTCCTTCACTTGCTCTGCAGCCTCCTTCTCCCCCTGGTTCTCCCAACACAACACAAAAGCACTGCTGATTTCTCTCCGCCCTCCCTGGGGGTCCCCCAGCTTAGTTTTCTCAGAGCCTTTTAGGCCAAAGGTCACTAATTGGTAGCCTGCCGACCAGATACTGCCCATGGCCCTGTTTTTTTGTTTTAATTCGCAGTGCTTTACAAACCCGGGAATTTCAAGTGCACATGCATTTATCTGGCTCTTCTGGAAAAATCAAAGTATTTGGCAATGCTGGATATTGATCCCCTCATGACAAGCTGGCTGAGAAGGAGGAGTGGTTCAGATGGGGCATGTGACCTATGGCTTCACCTCTGGCCCCTGTAGGCATTTTGGTGTGAGTATTAAGCTGATTTCTTTGATTCAATAAGTCCTTATTGAGCACTTTTCCTGTTTCAGACCTTGTTCTAGGCTCTGGGGATACAGAAATGGCAACAAAAGACCAAGGATCCTGTTTTGATGGAACTCATATTTTGGTGGAGGAGACAGATAATTTTTACAAGTGGATACACTAATAGTTAAGACGTCAGGTGGTGGTAACTGCTGGGAGGAACATGAAAGAACAGAGTAAGGGTCGTAGAAGACAATGAGCCAAAGAGTGGGGACAGGGGAGGCACCATCTTTTGTAAGCTGATTCTGGAAGGTCCATTTTAAGGTGACATTTAGGTAGATACTGGAGACAATGAGGGACTTCACAAAACCCAAGGAGAGAGGGTTTGTCTTCAAGCTGCCCCCTTCAAGGCTGAGAGGCAAGGGACTAAGCAAGGCCTGGAAGGTAAGGACTTCTTGGAACAGTCCAGGGTACCATACCGAGGCCAGCACTCAGAGGATTCTCATTTGGTTTTTTTTTTTTGCATTCTTGCAGAAGCTAAACATGAATTGGTATCTTAAATAGTTTCCCATCCTACTGTTAACAAACATTTTTAATAGATAAGGCTAATATATATAAAAATTGATGCTAAAAAAGTTTCTTCTGTATAGCACAAGGAATAATGTTCAATATCCTGTAATGACCGTAAATGAAAAAATGTGAAAACGAATATTTGTATGCATATGCATGACTGGGACATTGTGCTGTACACCAGAAATTGACACACTGTCATTGACTATGCGTCAATAAAATTTTTTTTAAAAAAAGAAAGAGAAAAAAATAGGTAAGGCTGAATTTCAGATATGGTATTTACCGTCCTGTGGAGTGAATCAATCCTGTTTTATTTTCTTTTGGGGGTGAGTTGGGGGGAGTTGGCCTTTCTGCTTTAGTCACAGGCCTCACAGAACGAGCTTTTCTCACTTGGTCGTCGGATGAGGGTGCAGTGTCTGCTTTTGGATTCTTTTCTTGGCTTATGATCACAGCTAGTGTTAAACTACTACAGGCTGCCGGATCACACACGAGAATTTGGTCACCCACATGAACATGAGGCTGTTGTGAGTTCACTTTTCTATTTAGAGAAGCACGTCAGCTAGAAATACCACCACCTTATTTCCCAGGCGCATGCGTGCTGAGCGAGTCGCCAAAATAGCCCTTTGAGTAAGTGGCAGCTTTAAAAACCGTCCTGCTGCTGACTTCCAGCTTGAAGGTCAGCAAAGGAAAGTGGAAGTTGGATTCTGAACGCTCGAGGTGCCCACAGGAATTTAATAGGGGGTCGGGATTTGGCAGACTTGAACAAGCGGACTGGGGCTTCTCCTTGGACTTCTTGCCTGTTACCTGGCTCTGTCTTCTCTCTTTGGACTTCAAGATGAATGTGCAGGCTTGCTCTCGGTGTGGGTATGGAGTGTACCCTGCTGAGAAGGTCAGCTGTCTAGACCAGGTCAGTAGATATTTGTCGGCCTTTGAGAATCATAATGAACGTGGGAAATTTATCTTCTCCCATACAGACATGTGGGTTTTTTTGAACCACCAAGGGAAAAAAAGAAAGATACATTTCCCACCTTTCCTTAGTTCTACCCATTTGTAGCTCCGTCTCCTATATTGTTTCAAAATTGGTTTATTCATTTATTTAGTGTATCATAGCCATGTGTGTTTTATCCCTAAAGCTCAATTTTTTACCCTGAAATATATAGGAATCCTGAGTCTGAAAAAAAAAAGTGACTTTGCTAAATCTCTTCTCTGTGATTTCCAGATATGGCACAAAGCGTGTTTTCACTGTGAAGTTTGCAAGATGATGCTATCTGTTAATAACTTTGTGAGTCACCAGAAGAAGCCGTACTGTCACGCGTAAGTGATTGATGGCTCCTCCACTAGCTCCTGAGCTGTGTTTATTTTTTTAACAAGTAGCCAACCAGAAGCTCAAATCACACACCCCAGGGTTAAATCCAAGGAATGTCTTCTCAACAGTGTTCACTTACAAACAATCATTAAAGAGACCTCAGATGGGATTTATGCAATGGATGCAAAGTTGAAAATTTCAAATTTCTTATACATAAAAGATCAAATCTATCCACTATCACTTCATGTCAAATTATTAAATATTGTGCAGAGCAGTCTGATTGCCATAGATTTGCATAAAGCTTTAAAATTTTTTCTTTTAAATAATTTCATAATCCTTTTCTATTTCTTCTGAAAGTTTTTAAGTGATCATTTCCAGCTAAATTTGGTCTTTATTTAAACAGGTTGGATTTTATTTTATTTAAGACTCATTGCCTGGAAAATTTGGAATTTAATTGTTAGGTCTTACATTTTTTGATTTAAAAAATTTAAAAAACGCTGCCTCTAAGAATAGTCACTCAATCATCTTGGATAAAGTACGTTTCTCATTTTGGTTCGTGTCTAATTTTTGTAGCCATAACCCCAAGAACAACACTTTTACAAGTGTCTATCACACTCCATTGAATCTAACCGTGAGGAACTCTCCCGAGGCCATCTGTGGGGTAAGTCACTTAGTTTTGAATTTCAAAATAGCCTTTAAAGAAAGTTTCTTAGTTCAGACACCTGTTAGGTTTTTTAGTGTCACTGTCTTGATGGGAACCTGCCCGTGTTTTCCACCCACACAAGCAAAGTGCATTTAAGTAACAAATACTGCTATTTGTCCTACCATAGCATGGAGGCCAACACACAGGGTAATCTAGTTTAATCGAGTATCTGAGGTTCTTGTGTCTATTATAATGTCTGTGTCTGTCAGCTCTGGATGTATTGATACAACAGGCCCTGCATACACTAGGTACTTAATACATAAGACAAAGTTCATATAGTTGGGAAATATTACAAAGACCCTTCCTTTCTTTCCCCCATGACATTTTGGTACAGGAGTTGAAAACCTCTCGTTCCACACTTTTAAATCTGTCTGCATTCAGTAGTGTGTAAGATTATTTGCAGCCTCTCTTTCCCTTTGGGGTAGAGGTAGGTCAGAGATATTTTGGTTTGGAGCTGATGTCTGGATAGACAAGGAGGCCGTATTGATAAACCAACCTCTTTTGAAAAACCCCAAGCAGAGTTTTGTCAAATAACTATTGATTGGATGTTTGTGTTGAGTAAAATGATGACTCATTTAACTTCCCTCCCCCATGCCCCACAACGGGTTGTCCTGTGGGATGGAGCTAGCAGCTGCCTAAAATTAGAAAATTACACATGAGGTGGAAGGCTCTCTAGTAATCTGCCTTCCTCATGTTACTGCACCTCCTGCTGACTCTCCTGCCCGCCTAGGCCACCGCCCTTCTCAAGAAAATGGGCATTAGATTGGGTTTATCCTTGTGTGGCTCTCTACACAGACTGCCTAGTAGCTTATTTTGCCAAGTACTTTGCTTTAATGGTGACTTTTATCATTTTTTAAAAACAAGTTTATATAACACTTACTGTACCGTTGCTAAATTCATTTAATATGTCACAGTCCAATAAAGTAAATAGTATTATTATCCCATTCTACTGCTGAGGAAACTGAGGCTCTAGAGTTGCTCATACGTCATTGAGTTCTAAGGGTGAACAAGCATTAGGAACTCACAAGCCATCCTAGATTGCTGAGAAGCCTAGTTCTTTTAGGGTTTTGCTTTTGGCTCTTTTTGTTTGTTTGTCTGTTTGGTTTTTTGTTGATGTTTGGTTTCATCTCTTGCTGTGTAAGAGCAGCTACGTGACGTCACCGTAAATAGTGAATTTAGCTCTTGCTTCTACAGAGCTCCAGACACACTGCTAGAGCCTTTAGCTACGTTATGTACTTACTCTTCATGAGAACCTTCCTTAAGATGATCATATGACAGCTGGAGAGGCTGAGGCTCAGAGAGATTAAGTAGCTTGCCCAGCTTTGCTTGGCTAGTTGAGGGCACAAAGCCACATCTGCCTGACTTTGGAATCTATATCCTAAACTGCTCCACGGGCCTACTGCCATCTGCCGAGGGGGTGGCACACTCTCCAGAAGGGAGAAAACCACTTGTTTATGTTTATAAATATCCAGAGATTTCTGCAGTTGTGTAGCCAGAATTTGACAGGTTAAACACAGGAGAGCTACCCGGTATGCATCAGAGTGCTGTTTGTACATATCACAACCCCCCCATAATATCTGTATCTTCCACCCTACGCTAGGTGTCAGCTGACGTGCCCCCCCTTACAAGCTTACAGCAGGTCACACAGTATTTACCTTTCTTTGAGGTGGTAGTGGATTCTTTTAACTTTCTTTTAACTGTGTGTGACAGGTCCGACCTGGAGCAAGATTATCGCTGGTTGCATTTCCAGCCGCAGACAGTGATGTGAGCTTCTCAGGAAGCCTGTGTGTGTGTATCTGTTCGCATCTATGTGAATGTGTGTGTATGTGTAGAACTATGTATGTGTGCGTGTGGAGATTGTATGTATGTATGTATGTGGGTGTGAATATGTGTGCATGTGTGTACATATGTGTTTACATGGTGTGTGTGCAGGTCTGTGTATACACACATGTGTGTATACATGCATGTGTGCACATCTGTGTATGTGTGTGGCGTGTATATGTGTGTATGTGTAAATGTGTATCTATCTCTGTGTGCATACGGTGGATGTATGTATACCCGCACAGATGTGTGCGCATGTGCACATGTATGCGTGTGTGTGTGCACACTGAACAGTTGACTGTTGAGATCACTTTCTCCTCCTTTCCCGCCAGGGGAAAACTCACAGGGACAACCATGTCCTTTCTAGGCCCCAGAGCTTATAACCGCCCTAGGGAGTGTGATGAATTACTTTCTTCCTCCCTTTTCTTCTTTTGGAGACTTTGCCAATTGAATCAAAAACAGATTCCTGGTTTAGCAGGGGCTAAAGTAAAGAAAGGAGAGAAAGGGATGCTTCAGTGATGATGATGAAGGAGAAAAATAAAAATTTTAAGTTGGCATTGGAAACAGGTTGACATTTTTCTGTTTTTTTTTTTTAATGTAATTCTTTAAAATAAATAAATAAATAAATAAATATTTACGAAGTAGGACAAAACTTCCTGTTTGGCAGGTGTGAATGAAATTTTTAGGAGAACAGAACATCTGGGTTCTCTTCCATTCAGAGTGACCTTTAGCCCTTAATGCTTCCTTACCCTACTAGTGACATTTTTTTTTTGTGCTTTCTTTTTTTTTTTAATTGAAGTATAGTTGCTTTACAATGTTGTGTTAGTTTCTGGTGTACAGCATGGTGGTTCAGTTATACGTATATATTTAGTTTATGTTTCTTTTTCCTCTTCCTACTTCTTCCAAATAATCACAAATCTTGTGAGAGGCCTCTGGGGAGGCAGGCACTCCAGTGATGGATTTGCACTGTGTGGGGAGGACAGCAAATACGACTTCCTATCCATTTTGGTCATGTGATTCTGATTCCTTAAGTCAGTGGCTGTCAAGGAGGGCAGTTTTATCCCCCAGGGGACATTTGGTGATGTCTGGGGACTCTTTCTGGTCGCAGCTGGGAGGCAGGAGTACTGTTGGCATCTGGTGGATAGAGACCAGCTATGTTGCTTGATATTCTGCAATGCACAGACAGTCCCCAACAACAAAGAATGAACTGGCCCTGAGTATCAGTGGGGCTGCCAAGAAACCTTGCCTTAAGTTGTGTAATGTTCGTGGTA